CAGAGTGTTTGTTAATCTCGGTACAGCAACCCTGAGCCAACCAGCCTGTCTGATTCTCTGACTTCCTGTAACCAGAGCCAGAACCTGATCAGTTGTGTCTTCTCTACTTCTAGGAAGAAACCTGACTGAATCTTGGGACTCTGGAGGAGTCCCCCTCGCTGAAATCTACCTGCTGCATCTCTGGAGCTCTGGAGGAGCTCATCGTCAGAAACCAGCCAACCAGCTCCTGACTGAACCCAACCCAGGAGAACCAAGCCTCAGACCTCAGCCTGCCGTCTGCCTTTGAACCTTCATGGCTTCCCCCTTCGGCCTGCTCAGCTCAAGCCTCAGACCTCAGCCTGTCGTCTGCTACTAAACCCACATCTGGAGGTCATCAAGCCTCAGCCAAGCCAAACCACCTTCGAGCACTCAGTCTGTCGCCAACCTCTGGAGCCTCCTCGGATTATTCACCTCGGCTGCTCTGCTCAGTTCCTGGTCAGCAATCCAGCTGAGACCAGCCCTTGACCTGACTTCATCCTGACCAGCTTGTTCTTCCTTAAATAAATATTTAACTTTTTCCCCTGCCTCCTGAGTGTGTTCTGCATATGGGCTAGAATATTCACCCATCATGACATAGGCGGGTTTGGCTCCGGAACCGGAAGTTGAGCTGGCTCCGTTCTGGGGTTAGCATTGTTGAGGTAGCCGGCTAATTCCTGTAAAGTTTGATTTTGCTGGTCCAAACGTGTGTTAAACTCACGGAGGGTGGAGTCGTGGCCTTGTATCAAAACTCCTTGTTCCTCAATCATCCTCCGGAGGTGGACTGCTGGGTTAGGTTGTTGGCCAGAGTGTTCTGTCATGATGGGATTCAGATTTCTAACCCACATGCAGAACACAACGGAGGCAGATGAAAAGTTTGACTGTTTATTGAAATAAACACAAAGTTTTATGAAAGATGCTGAGAAACAGATCCGGGACTGGTCACACAGGGTTCTCTGTAGAGAGGGACAGTTAGGTTAGCCAGGATGCAGTAGATCTTTGCCAGAGGAATTGTGCAGGTTTGTACCTGTGACGTGATTCTGGTTTAGCAGATGAGGGAGGGAACCAGGTGGGTCCAGAGGCTAGAAATTGGCAGAGGGCTAAGCAACGGCAGGGCTCGTCTTCAGACTTATCAGTGTTCAGATCCAGAGTTTTCTACCGATCCTCTTCTTGAGGCCGGTAGGCAGGTTCAGACAGTTAGATTCTTCAGATGAGCTCCTGAGAGCCAGCAGGCAGATTTCTGCAGAGGAAACTCTTCCAGAGTTCCAGGGTTCAATCAGGTTTCTTCCTAAGAGGCAGAGAAGACAAAAACTGATTAGGTTCAGGTTCTGGTTTCAGGGGAGGCAGAGAATCAGACAGGCTGGTTGGCTCAGGCTTCGCTAACCATAACTGGCTTAACACTCTGGCGCTGGAGTGTGGTCCTGCCGCTGCTTATATTCTGGTCTCCTGATGACTGATGGGTCGCAGGTGTGGTCGTGAGCTCAGCTCCAGGAGACCTAGGGGCGCCCTCTGCTGGAGGAAGGTGGACAGACCTCCAGATCCCAACACCATGGTCCGTAAACCAGGCACAGGTAGATTTTGCGCTGTGTGCAGGCGCCAAGTCCTGTTGGAACCTGAAATCTCCATCTCCATAGAGCAGGTCAGCAGCAGGAAGCATGAAGTGCTCTAAAACTTGCTGGTAGACGGCTGCGTTGACCCTGGATCTCAGGAAACAGAGTGGACTGACACCAGCAGATGACATGGCACCCTGATGGTGGAAACTTTCCACTAGACTTCAGGCAGTGTGGATCCTGTGCCTCTCCTGTGTTCCTCCCGACTCTGGGACGATTT